TATATATATATATATATATATATATATATATATATATATTTCATAGAACTACAGATCATGAATAATGAAAAATGATAATAGGAATATCAAAAATAAATGACAGGAATGACAAAATCATAAAATATCAGTAGTTACAGCAGCAGCACATATATGCTCATTAACCATTTAGTTGCCTTCAGCTGGAGTTCCCAAGTCCCCAGCTTTTCTCCCTCTATCTGTGGATTAAAATCTCCATTAAAAGAAGCTTAAAAAATTGTTTAACTAATCACACTAAATTAAATTATAGAACTGAACTGTAATGTAACTCAATTTATTCAATTTGGTTCTGACTTAACCTCATTCTGAATAAAAAAGGTAAAAGATTCGATTTTTGATGGTCCAAAGACTAAAATCAAATTAATAAAAGGGGAGATCTACATACGCAGCACACAATTCTTATGTATTTACATGCATCACATCTAAATTTTCATATTTACACATAAAGCACTTTTTGTGTTTTAAAGATATGTATGAAAATGTGTATTTGACTACTAAAAAAATGTTAATATTACTATTTTCAATGCAATATTAAAGATTTAAGGAGAAAAATGAAACATTTTCGTGTCCTAATAGCATTTAAGAAATGCAGTAGTATTAGTTGTATTTTTTATATGATGCTAAAATTTGCATAGGCATAAAGTACCGGTGCTATTTATGTAAACATGAAAGGTCAGGTGTGAGATATATAAATACATAAGAATTGAGTGCTACTTATGTATATTTTCCGAAAATTAAAATGTCAGATATATAAATACATAAGAATCGTGTGGGTATCCATGTAAATCCCCCTAAAAATTAATAAACCCAACCGTCCATCACAGCATGCTCACATATGACTTAAAACAATCAGTCCATGCATTACTGTTCTATGAATGGTTAAGGAAAATTTACATACATACCACTTAATTCTTATGCATGAAAAACTGTAATTTACTTTTTAGAACTTAAAAGTGTTATTTTTTTATGTGATATGAAAGATTTGAGGGTTATAAATGCAAGAAAGAAAGTTTTAGGTGTCAGAAATGTAAATACAAAGAAATTGGCTGGTATATTAATGTATGTAAATGCCCCAATAGTGAAATACTTCAGTATCATTTCGCTTTAAAAGATTTAGTATTTGTGATACTTTTGATGTGATGCTAAAAGACTTGATTGTTATATTAAGTAAATGGTAAAATTTAAGGGGTAGATATGTGAGAACATAAGAATTATGTGATATATACATAAATCTCCCTTAAATATTTCATATAAGAAATCTGAAAATGGTATGTTCTTATTAAGAAAACCAAAAACGTTGATTAAGGACATTTAGTCCGAAATATTACCCTTGAGAATTTTGGAACAAGTTCAATGAATTTAATTGATATATTCCACGTGGCTATGCCTTAATTTACTCGAAATATTAATTGATAAATTCCACGTGGCTATGCCTTAATTTACTCGAAATATTTTAAAATAGAATCTTCTTTAGCAAAGAGTCCCAACCATTTGTGCAGCATATAATCTTCCTGGCACCAAACATGGCTGCAAATTGAAAAAGAAAAAAGTTCTGAATGGAAGGAAAGGTGCATCTTTTGACAATCATTCTAATGATTTGCACCCCCAGCCCCCGCCGCACAAAATCTAGCATAGTTAACGGCGGAAAAATTCAGTCGGAAATTACCGCCAGATTTAACCACTAAATTTTTTTTTTCAGATTTTTATGACGAAAATGGCTACGAAAATTCTACAGATGTTGAGGAGGTGGAGCCTGCAGCTTTCCTGAACCTGGCGTGGAGTAACCACGCCTAAACTAGTGTGGCTACAGTGGGCACGTGACTACGCCGCAACCAGGTGTAGGTGTGCCAGTTGGTTCCTTGATTTGAGTGACAGCAATGACCGACGAAGCGAGTCACAAAGCAGAAGAGTTCAATGGGTCGAATTTTGGGTTCTTGAGGATGCAAGTAGAGGATTTGATGTATCAGAAAAACACTGTATCTGCCTCTAATCGATGATTATGGAGGAATGAAAGGTGTTGGATTGAACAACTTTAGGTTTGATCAATCCTTCACTTTCTTCTTCTGTTGCTTTTAATATAATGAATGAAAAAACCACGATATATCTCATGATGACATTGACAAAAATGTAATCTTCTGTTTCAAATAAGATTTTTATGATGAAGAGATTATTCA